ACATGAATGCAGCAGCAGCAGCAGCAGCAGCAGCAGCAGCAGCAGCAGCAGCAGCAGGAGGAGGAGGAAAAAGAAGAAGGAGGAGGAGGAGGAGGAGAAGGAAAAAGAAGAAGAAGAAGAAGAAGGAGGACGAGGAGGAGGAGGAGAAGGAGAAGAAGAAGCCCATCAGATTTTAAAATTAAGTAACTGGGTTGTGTCCTTCAACAAAAGAAATCAATGTCATCGCAAAACAAGGTACTGTGCAACAGTGTAAAAGGGTGAGCATGCTTTACAGGTAGGATGTGACAGTGCGTGATTGTAAAGGATCAGAAATCCTATTTTTCATTTGGACAAAACGTAGTAAGTTTAGTTTTTCATATTTGAAAAATGTTCCGATCTACCATGTTCAACATTTATCTCACCCAATCTAGGAATCTCACCCAATCTAGGTATAGCAGGGGCTGGACCTCCAAACTCTCCAGCCCCACCCCTGGACATCTGCACCATGACCTCCTGCAGAGTCAACCTGGACACCAGATCATCCACACGTTCGTCCCACGGCAAGCTGGTATTTCTGAACGGGAAATCGTCAAAGGGAGAATTTTCCTCCTCCACACTCATGTGTCTCACTGTGTCATGGTGACGCCTGGACAATCTGGAGCCAACAACTCCATTGTTGGACACACAGAGGGCCAGTACCACAAGAAGACTGATACAATATGGAACTCCTGAACATTTCATTGTCAGCTTACTTGCACAAGAAATCTGGAGAAAAAAAATGCAAGGAAATCATTAACAACATTTTTCATGCTAATTCTTTTTTTTTATAGTAGAGGGTTTTACAGCACTCGCAACTGCATAAGGTCATATATGCGTGCCAAGGGGTGGGTGTCATCAGAAAGTCTTTACAGGGAATCAGACTTAGACTGCTCACCTCTCTAGCTTCAACAGCACGGAAAGGTCTGCTTTGACTATCAAGACACCCCGGAAATAGCAGGTCACAAGAAAGTATACAAAAGAAGTAGAGGAAAATGACAATAGTAAGGATCAGGAAAGAAAAAGCAGCAGTTCCCTGTTGTAGATCAGGCACAGTTTTGAGCGTGACATGAGTCAGCCCATTAACAATTCTACTATGCTTGAACGAGAAATGTCCCCCCCCCCCAATTGGGAATGGCCTAAAGACACTACAGTCAGTGGCACTGCCCCAGGGGGTGCATGCTAACTCAGTCTACTTCATAACAAACAAGTAAAACAATAATAAAGTATCGTTTGAACTTGATACTTCCTTTTCACTAACTTATTTTGTAGGTAAAAGATTGAGGTTCCGGGCATGAATTTGGTACACTGTCCAGGTCTCAACACCATACAACAGGAGCAGGGTCAGGAGGACAATAACATTTTAGACTTTAAACTTTGTCTCCGTAGAAATACCACAGCAGTCCCAATCCTCACTCACTGTGAGTCTTCAAAAAGATGACTGGCTTTATCTTGTAGGGCCAAAAGATATTTCTGCATCAATGCCCCAAGAATTGAAGTTATCGTCAACATTTTGCAGTGTTGTGTCATGTATTTTGCACCCAAGAGGGAGGGTCTGTGTATCACCATGGACAGGCTGGAAGAGAACCAATAATTCCATTGATACCCATAAATTGTTAAAAGAAGGTTACACCCTCTCAGTCTTCAGCGGAACAACGCATGATTCAAGTCAGGTCCTTCAAGTCATATGCTCAACTCTAATCGAACCGGTGTCTCACCGCCAACCGCACTTTACTTCCTAGCATAGCATAGATTGTAGACCTAGAATCTAGATTCTAGATTTCTAGAATAGAGTAGATAGACCTAGAATCTAATACTAATATATGTACTCTTGTATGCCTAGCTGTCCCCTGTTGTTTACAAGTTGGCTTAATTTTCCATGTGAGTGACGTCCCTTGTGTGTCCCAAAATTCCTATCGTCAACGCCGCCATGATTGACGCTTTGACAGGTGACAAAGCCAACCAAAGGTGTACGAGACGAATTGTAAACAAAGAGTGCTGCTTGAAATTTAACTCCTGAGATTATCTACCGTGTTGTGAAAGTAATATACTGGTGAAATTATTATTCTTCAGTTGATCTGAACTCCACTTAGAAAGGCCACTTCACCTATTTTGCTTTTCGAATAGATATCAATAGCGCAGGAACGGACGTCGATCACTTCTAACCAAGAGTAAGAGCCAAGATGAGTTCGGATGCCAAACCGTCGTCAAAGAAGAAAGAAGGATTTTTGCGGAGACAAGCCAAGTCCAAAACAGATGTTGTTTCCGAGGAAGAGCTATTGAAAAAAGACATTATATCGCCAGACGATGTGCTTAGATTGGGAAGAAGTACAGAAAGTAAGATCTGTTGTCTGTTGTTACAATTTAGACCTCTAAACAAGATTCTAAGTGACTCTAAACTACACATTAGATCTACCTTGACTCTTAATGAACCCTGGAAGCGCGCAGGCCCTGTATAAAGGGCATGAGCCAGGTTACCTGGAAAGCACGCAGGCCCTCCTATAGCTATATATAGGGCTGACCTACTTCCACCGTGAAGCGTGCTGGCCAGCTCTATTCGGACTCGAGTCCAAATATAATTTTTATCTATTCGGACTCGAGTCCGAAAAAAAAAGTTTTTTTTTATCGGAGTGTATACAGACCCAGTAACCGGGAACAAAGTCACGAAGTATACAGATCCGGGAACAAAGTCACGAAGTATACAGATCCGGTAGGGCAAACCTTTTTTGATTTCGGAAAGTTTCAGCACCCAGAAGAGAACTGGGGAAAGTGCTAGTGCTTGCATGTATCACATGCCCCAGTTGACAAGAGGGAACGAGAGAAAGATAGAGTGAAGTAGGTGAGGGATAAAGAAAGACAGAGAGACGAACAAAGAGAAAGAGAAGGCGAGCGATACACAGAGGAAACACAGAGAGAGAGAGGGGGGGGGGGGTTAGACAAAGAAATAGAGAGGGTGACTGAAATTATGACGTTGTTCTTTTCTTCAAATTGTCTTATTAATTCCTCCAACTCCAAAACGGAGGAAAAACAGTTGTTCATCGAAAAGATACATCAGCAATCTTCACTTAGATCTAGACCTAGGCCATAGATCTAGAAGAACCTAGGTCTACCCTGAGCCAAGAGGGCGCTGAAACTTTCCGAAATCACAAAAGATTTCCCCTACCAGGTCTATATATATACTTCGTGACTTTGTTGCCGGGTCTCTGTACACTCCCTTTATTTATTCAGACTCAGCTTCTAAGTGAGATGTGAGTGTAAGGAGGTTACATATAAATGTTGTGGGAGGATTTTATGTAAAACTAGAATTAGAACTAGAATTGCCTACTAGGACTATGTAATTGTGTCAAAAGTCAAAGGACTGCACTCTTATTAGATCTACCCAATGACGGTGTTTAAGTACACGGAAACCAACAACTCAGGGTCTTTCCACCACAACTCTATAGCATCATCATTACTTCCACCACCATTTATCTTTCAACATGTTTAATTTCATTTCGAAGTGGCTAGCCGTACTTAAGAGAGAGAGAAAGGAGGGGGAAGAGAACTGGGGAAAGTGCTAGTGCTAGCATGTATCACATGCCCCAGTTGACAAGAGGGACCGAGAGAAAGATAGAGTGAAGTAGGTGAGGGATAAAGAAAGACAGAGAGACGAACAAAGAGAAAGGGAAGGCGAGCGATACACAGAGGAAACACAGAGAGAGGGGGGGGGGGTTAGACAAAGAAATAGAGAGGGTGACTGAAATTATGACATTGTTCTAGCCGTACTTAGATCTAGGTTTGGCCCAATTGACTCAAGCCTGTTAAATACACAGGTCTCATTAGATCTAGATCTAGTGATTATTCAGGTTCAAATATGCAAGTCAGTAAGGCACCTTCTGGTTTTGTCTGAAATACAAATACTTTTGGCATTGCAAACTAAAAATTTCATTTACAATTCGGCCATCAATATTAAGTACGGCTAGACAAGAAGTCTAGCCGTACTTAAGTACGGCTAGACTGCCAGTCTAGCCGTACTTATCTTAGGCCCTATTAACATTAGAAAACAGGAGGTTTAAAATACATACACTGTCATTAAGGCACCTGGTTTCGTCTCAAATACAAATACTTTAGGTCCTGCACAATAAAAATGTATATTTACAATTCAGTAGGCCTATTTTTTGTAAATGGTCAGTCTAGCCATCATATTAAGAATAAGTACGACTAGTCTAGCCGTCATTAAGTACGGCTAGCCTCTTCCATTTCATTTTGTTGTGTCTTATAGTTTTTCTGTAATTATTTTTCTTTTTATTAGATCACACAAAACCCACAGCCGTGGCCTCTTCGAGAAAAGAGGGGGTTTTTTTTTGTCTGCTTAATCATTTTTAAATAGTCATTCCGAAATTTTAATTCTAATTTATTAGAAAAACTAGTCAGTTTCAATTTGATTTTTTCACACAAGTAGGGTAACTGATCAGGCTTTCGATGAGCAAAGATTTTGGTGCCGAAATGAAAAAAAAAGGCATTTTGTCAGCTTACAGCAGAGGGTCTGTGTAAATTACCTTTTGGTTAAATTCGGAAAAATATCAAGGTCTGTCATATTTTTATATGCACAAAAGCTTAGTCTTACTTTCAGACACAGCTCTGTGAAATAAAGATATTTTAAAACTCTTTGTGGTGTAGTTATTTAGCATATATCTGTTAAGGGCCTATTACATGTACAGGCCGACCGGACAGGTTTTGCCGAAATCGGGGAAACTTGGTTTATTATTGCACGCCACAATCGACCTGAAGGCGGCCGCACCTTGCGAGCAACATATTCTACACACACACACACTAGACCTAGTCTGGGTGAAGCTTCACACACGTGTGTGCATCATGGCTCGCAAAACATAAAATGTGCAGGAATGGAATATCCTTTTAAATACAAAACAAAACAAGTCATTTGCAAGCCATTTCCCTAATTTTTGATACGCTGATTCTGAATGTGATATTATTTACCTATGACGTGATTTTCTATAATTTTGAAATTAGTTCTGTTGTCCCTGGCACAGCAAACTTCCAAGATACGCGGCATTCCCCTCAAGGCTGGATGGCCGGACGTCAAATTCTCAGGCAGCGGCTGTGGGTTCTTTACATCCGGCTATTCAGAGGGTGTTTGTCTTCGGTTTGAGAATCATTTCTTATTACACATTACGATTAGCTGTATGGCCCAGAAACCTGTCCGGTTGGCTTGTACGTGTAATAGGCCCTTTAGTCTAGTCCTTGTGTTGGCCCTGGTTGAAGGATCATAGCAGCCGAATTTCTAAACGAGTTAGACTGGAAATCAAGGCCTCGTGATTGAAATCAAAGAAATCAGTATTTTTCTGCCTGTTGGGCAGTTTCCATTGTTTTAATTTTTTAAAACTCAACACCTTTTATGTCCATGTAAAAACGTGGGGATTTGAGTAATTTTTCGGAAAATGGTTGGTAAAATGCACCAAAAAAATGTAAATTTGCAGTTTCCAATCACTCATAGCTTTGGAAAGCACCACTCTTAAACAACCATTTTCTCACTAATTTTATGTCAACACCAGGCGACCCCTTCCTCCTTCCATTGCAAATCTCCTCTTTTATTTCAGATGCATGTGTATTTTTTCATAAAAAGAAAGTCTAATGAACGGACTGTAAAATGATTTACAACAGCTCCATTTGCCCCAAGACTGACGAAGGCCTGTGTCCAACTTGTTGTGCTACATATTTGCACTCAATCTTATATATATATACTTCAGTTGACAACTTTCTGCATATATATTGTTGATCCATGCCAGCTATTTTAATTTTATTTAACTCATTTTGTTTTGTCCTCTGTGAATGCAGTTTATCTTCAACAAATTTTGTTGCCATGTTTCATTTTTTTTTATTCCTTCTCCACCACCAGAGTACCTGTGTCCTCCAGAAGCAAACGTCTATGGGATTGACTTCACCAGGTTCAAGCTGCGAGATATTGAATCAAACCAGGTTCTTTTTGAAGTTGCAAAGCCACCTCATTCTTATGAATTAGGTAATGTAATAGTTTTCCACTGATACATTGGAACTCAGATTCAAGGAGGTCGCCGGGCCTGACCTAAAATTTCTTTGAATCCGAGTGTTCGTTATAGCAAATATGAGGTTTTGTGTAAATAATTACCGGCACTGAGCAAAAAATGTATAGAGAGAAGTAGCGAGTGGTGTCTGAAATGCCTGCATGATATTAGCTGTGCAAAAAAAAGACCAATTCATTCAAATGCATGTCTCGCGGCTGTTAAAATCCCACTGAAAGTGGTACTTTAGTTGGTGACCGAGCCCTGGTCTGACCTCCTGCGCGAAGGTAATAAATCAGTGTCAGTCGGCCACTCCTGCGCTTAACAACCGATGCCCGCCGCCGTGCCTGCGTAACTCGGTTCTGGTAATTTTCGTATCGCTTTCCCTCGTTATTTCTCCCGATCTGATAAACCCAGAAGCCTGTTTAACATCTCATTTTAAAGATCAACTTAGGACTAAGTAGACGATCCCACTTTCCCTCCGGAAATCTCACTGGTGTTATAGCATTTACCCACTTTGCAGTACAAGTGTTTTGTTCATCTAAAGTTGCTTTTTAAATTGTATTCCATTTTGGAGTTTATTATCTCAAAAACCAAACCCATGATTTTCACGAAATTTCTCTGCTTCACTTGAGACAGCAATACTTGACCTGTGTGGGCAAGTGTTATTTGTGAAAGGCGAATGTGTGATTTAAATGATTTTTTTAAAAAGGGTACCCCTCCCCTGTGATTCCCTCGGACGTGATCTTTCATTTCTATTCTTAACTTTAGAATCGCGTTATCTTTCCAACATTTCTCTCATTGATTTTTAAAAATATTTTAGCCCTGTTAAGAAATAGAGAAACATACAGAGGATTCGCATTTTCAAAAGCTGCACGAATATTACAGGACTTGTGGTGGCAGAATAATGTCAGGCAAGGAGAAAGCACAGAAAATGCGACCCCTACAGTGTTCTTAATTTGCGTCAGACATTCTCTTGGCCTCTGGTGTCAGCATTACAATGGACTCACAGACAGTACATTCAAAAACCATCTGTACTGTTTATGTGTACAAGATAAGACATATCAAGAAACATTGCTATCAGGGCACTATAACCTCCTGGTTTTTCTGGAAACTACTCTTGATGCTCGTTTTCTCTCCAGTTTACACCTCCCGCTTATAAACATTGAACACTGTAAAGTAGCATCCCCCCGGGCAGTGCCACTGACTGTAGTGTCTTTAGGCCATTCCAAAAGGGGGCACATTTCTCATTCAAACACAGTAGAATTGTAAATGGGCTGATTCATCATGTCACACTCGTAACTACCTGATCTACAACAGGGGACTGCTGCTTTTTCTTTTCAAATCCTTACTATCGTCATTTAGCCTCTACTTCTTTTGTATGTTTGTCACTCTCTTGTGAACTGCTATTTCGGGGGTGCCTTGATAGTCGAAGCAGACCTTGTGCTGTTGAAGCTAGAGAGGTGAGCAGAGTAAGTCTGATTCCTTGTAAATAGTTCTCTGTTGACTCCCACCCGTTGGCGCTCATATGACCTTATGCTGTTGTGAGTGCCATAAAACCCTTTACTGAAAAAAAAAAAAAAAAGTAGCACCACGATACTTTTGTTTTGTTCAGGGTGTTGTTGCAGTTCTCAACCACCATCGTTTGCTAGAGGCAGCGAAGCACACAATAGACATAAGTGAGCAATCAGAGGAAGGCTATAAAGGAGTTTAGTCGTCATTGCGCATTATGGCAAAAACTGGATCCGGGGGGATCGAGGAACTAAATGGGGAGATTAGACATTTAGAAGGTTGCGTAGTACTTTCTGAGTTAGAGCATGGACCCCTTAGCCCTGGACTGGCCCTATCTGTTCTCATTTAGACACCATACTTGACTCACGCAGCATCACTCCGCAGGCATATCACAGCCGCTCTTTCATTGGCAATCGCCGCCACAAATACATCATGAGTCGCGTTTATAAAGACCTTACTGCGTTTATTGTAAAAGAAATACAGTCGAACCTGCCCTGACGGCCACCTCTATAAGACGGCCACCTGTACAAACGGCCACTTTCCATTTCCCCCCTTGCGTTTTTTCTATATAATTTAACTGTGTAAAACGGGCACCTGTCCAACGCGGCCGCGGCCACAAAAATTTAACACACAACCCCTATAATACTAAGCAATAATACCTGTCTAAGACGGTCACCTTAGTGAATCCATTACGTTTTGTCATAAATTGTGCATTGGCCCCTGGCGTTGTGGGCGAGCCGTCATAATTCAATCACCTGTCGTTGTTGTTAGGTAGTCCCTCCAACCGATCATGTTGCGTAAGCCCCTCCCACTGTTGACCAATAGCTACCAATTTTCAGCTGCAGGTGAGTTAGTGTGTGATCCCTCATAACCCCATAAGCCCCGCCCAGAACTCATACACAAATCGTAAGTGAGATGAGTGGTTACTGTTTACCCAGTCTGTAACAAAGTAACAAAGGACGTCAACATGAACTTGTTACAGAAGCGTCCCTCGTTCTCCGAGTGGTGGCGACCCATGTGTTTGTTTTAACATGGCACTCGGTCTTCCTTGTCTGATACATTTCGTTTTATTGTCACCATTGTGCAAAATCAGCGACAAAATAAAAATTACAAACGAAATACAAACCAACAGCAACAACACCAACAAAGACAACAACAATGGGGCTACTTTCGATTGGGGCCTCAGATGGGAATGGTTTGTTTTCTTTATCTTGATCAGTCCTGCCTAAGACGGCCACCTGTCTTATGCGGCCACTTTTCTCCTTGACAATGGGTGGCCGTCTTACACAGGTTTGACTGTAGTAGAAAACACCGACAGCCAAAATATAATTGACACCGCTTACACTCTCGGAGAAAAATTCAGTCTATTAAACAGTGCATTTAGGGGCGTTGACATCCACATCTCACACGGCCTAGATTGTCGGGCCCGCCATCGTGACCGGTCAGTGAACCTGTGCGAGTTCGCATCTTGTGAGTGCGGCATGAGTAAGGGACCGGCCAACGGTTGCTTGGGTAATCGAAGTTCATTCAAAGTAGGAGCGTTGAAGAGCTTCGGAATTGAGGGGAGGTGTTTGACGCAATAAAGTCTACAGCAGCAGGATAAGGCCGCGGTGCAAGAAACTGATGCTGAAATAAAAATGATAAGTGGAAGTGGTTTTGACCTTCGACAATCGAGTGCGTAAATGAGGGAACATTAGAGCACGGGCTTGATGATAGAATCTTCAACTTCAAGGTTGGTGTTCCCGGATTTGTCGGAATTGTCAGTGGTGACAAATTAAATAATGGCAATGAGGAAATGCCATTTTCAACCCTCGGAAAGCTCTATGTTGGATGCCTATGCATCATGATGACCTGTTGCTGATTAAGAACTGTTACTGTGATTTGGCATTTTGAAAAAAAATCAATACTTAGTCCATGATGCAGTGATTCACTCATTGCCAGGTTTTCAGCATCACTACATCCCACATTCTCTCAGTCCTTCCAGCCTCGACTCTCAGTATACGCTCTCTTTTAGTTTCACTTTTTGTTCTGCCGTAAGCCTAACTATAAAGGTTTTATAATAAGTTTTGTCTTGCATGCTTTTAAAAAATCTGTGCGATTGCTGAAATCAAACATGGTTTTGGCAGTTGATGTTCTTCTTGCCTCTCCTAAGGCCCAGATCAGGGATTATTTTGGGTTTTTTTTAGGGTAAAACTAGTGAAAATTAATTGTCTGTCATACGTAACAAGTCACAAAGGACTTATCAGTGTCCTATGCCAGTGTAGGGAAATATGTTTTAATATAGTTTCTATTGGTGTGGGCTAGCAGTTTTGAAGTCAGTTTGTTGTCACCCTGCTCTCTATTCCAGATTCAATACTGAATGATAGGTGCTTTGAACGATAGTCCATATAAATTCTTTTTTTTAAAACTCGCCTCATTACATACACACTGTTCATCGTAACTTGTGCACACCCAAACACCCACTTCCCTCCCCTCATATATAAACACACACGAGAGCATGCACACACGCACATGTGCATGCACAAACAAGTTTTCAAAATATAATTACCCAATATCACGGAGAGCAAGCGCGCTCGATCTTTTTTTTTCCTTCTTTGTCTTTGTACTACCTGATTTTGTGCCAAACTACCTGAAACTGACCCTGAATCTACCTGAAATGGGAACTTTGAGGTCGGCAGCCCTGTAATTTAAGTGCTCGTTAAATCGGGGTTGTTTTTTATTGATTTTAAAGAAGGAAAATAACGGAGAATCCATTTTGCAAGCAGTAAATAGTTGTAATGTTTGAGACTTCAATATGATGTTTTTAAATATAGCTTGCGAAATCTTTTGAAGATTCTATGACATTTTCCACTGCTGGGAAATAACTGTTTTATTGTAAAGATTGATTGCTGTTTAGGCAATGTATCAAATGACTATCAATTGTTATACCTGGATAGTGTTTATTGAATTTCGTTGTCACAGAATGTATAACCTTCTAAATCTTGTGAAGTTAGAGTGGCATGATTTTAGGAGTTATTGGTTTGATGCAGGTTGTTCTCTCTTAAAATAGCAATGTGTGTGTCATTTGTCTTACATTTAAATCTTCTTTTTACTCCACAGAGGAAAATGAAGAACCAGATCTGCCCGAGCCTGAAGAGGATCCAAACTCTGGACGCTTTGTTCGCTATCAGTTCACCCCACAGTTTTTGAAGCTCAAAACAGTTGGTGCAACGTAAGTGGCATCATTATCCTGGGTAATCAGCTCCTGGAGCTGCTTATGTTTCACGTTTAATTAACAAATTTCTTTTTCTTCTGCCTCCCCTTTTGTTTTCTCAGTCTTATATGCGTGATATAACGGAAGGGTGGTTAAGAGTGTAGTTTAGTCTGCACTTTCCTTTTTTTTCCATGTAGCTGGTGTCTTGAATCAGTTCACTGTGAAAGATGACGATTGTGTGCAGATTCGCATAAAACAGTTCCCCCCAGCTGGAGCATGGACTGTTCTGAAACTCATTATCTACACTGTATGGTCATAGTCGTCATGGTGGGAGTGGAAAGCATGCTTGGGTTTCTTTAATTCCTCAAACTTTGTATAACCCTCTCTTCGAAACAGAAGAAGAAAAACCTTGGAGGAGAGATTATGTATTCTTTTTATCACTTCTTTTGTTCTTTTTTTTTAATGGTTTGTTTTATTGTTTTCTTGGCAGGTGCCTCATAGATCGCCGATAATTTACTCTTTTTTTTTTTTTCTTTTTTCTTTTTTTTTCAGTGTGGAGTTTGTGGTTGGAGACAAGCCAGTGAACAAATTCCGAATGATTGAGAAACACTACTTCAGAGACAGAGTCCTAAAGTGCTTTGATTTTGAGTTTGGCTTTTGCATCCCTCACAGCAGGAACACAGTGGAGCATATATACGAGTTTCCCAAGCTCAGTGATGATATGAGTAAGTACATGTCGTACTAGTGCCCATGTTTTGGTGGGGGGTTTTTTAAAATTCATTATTATTAAATCACTTCATATGTTTCATTCAACAGTTGCATGACCCTTGCCGCGATACTCGCAACGGTTCCTGCAAGCCCTTCATTATCAACTTTGGAATTTTTTTTCGCTATATAAATCACACACGTGTCTCGTGATCCGTCTCATGCCCTTGTTTGACCAGTCCGGAGCTACTTAGACTTAGTTTCGTATCTCTGGGGCCGATAGTTTTTAAGTTATTGAAAGTGAAGGACTGTCACCCCAACTGGGGTTGAACTGACTGAAACTCGCGCTATGTTTTTTTTAAAATACGGCTGATAGTAATTTTACTGTCGCGTCGTAGTAACAGTCGAAGAAGTCGCATGAACAAGAATCTCATAATTTCGCTCTTTTCAATACTTCTGTTCGTTTTACTAGTTCTAGTGACTGTCTGATAGTTAGGATCCTGGATATGTACCCGAACAGGGCCTGAGTCATAGTTTTAGGGCTAGATCTTGAACTAGTACTGGTTGTTACCGCACCGAAATCACAACTTCATGCCCGACATCTCTCTCATGCAATTCAATGTATGGGTCTGAATCAACGCACAGCTCAGTTTTTATATTTTCTCCAAACACTCAAACGTGCATACAAATCAAAACAGAACACTTTGAACTTTTATTTTTGGTGTTGTGAATTTCATTCTATCTGTCACGTCTCTTGAAATTTTTGGGAAAATCAAATTCATGCCAATTTTTTTAAAATCATACAAATTAAAGTATTAGACTTAGATAACTTTAGTTTTTTAAATTAGATTAAGCTTAAATATGACTTTACTGTGTCGAAAAATAATAACTATAGGGTAATTCTGTGAGTTGTGATGGTTTATTGAAATACTCCCAAAAACGCCAGTCTTCAATGCTTGTGACTGGTGAAAGGGCCCAGTAGTCAGTGAGTTAAAGTTGTTGGTTTCCTGACCAAACTTTTTATCTAAAAAAAAAGTTTTTTAAACCCCCACCCATTGAGCAATTATGCCCAGTGCTTCAAACTCTTTTAAAATTGAAATGTAGTATTCTTTAAGTGGAAGAAAAAAAAAGTCTCTTCCCACCAAAACCCTTATTCAACAACAGCAGGTTTTAAGGTTCAGGTCTGCGCGTGACAAAGCAGAAACATTACAGTAGAGAAGTTGGCTATGAACTTGACACAAGGAAATATTTCTGTCTTTTCTTTAGTTTTAGTAGAGGTTTTATGGCACTCGCAACTGCATAAAAGGTCATATGGGGGCCAGAAGATTAGAGGTGTTACAAGAGAGTAACAAACATAAAAAAGAAAAAGGGGAGATAAGGACGATAGATCTTTGACAGGAAAGAAGAAGCAAACCACACCAGAGCACCCGCCAACCACCCACCCACGTATATTTCTGTCTGAGCTCAAACAAGATATGTCGTTTCCTGTAAGTATCCCATCAGCAGGCCAGCCAAGTGATCTTTCTGCCATTGACAGTGTCCTTGCCATGTTGTTTTTGTTTTTTTTAATATTTTTTTAAAGTGTACTTTTCAACCTTAACGAGAATTATGCCACCCTCCCCACTCCCCCCCCCCCCCCCCCCCCCACCATTTTGGTGTTTCAGTTGAAGAAATGATGGAACACCCGTACGAGACTCGCTCTGACAGTTTCTACTTTGTGGAGGATCGTCTCATCATGCACAACAAGGCAGACTATGCTTACAACGGTGGAGCCCCTCAGTCCTAGTGGCCACTGGCTTCTGCTCCCATTGGCCTGCCTTCTCTTCTCACCCACGGTTACTGCTACCCTCGGCAGGAGCGAGGACTTGATGAAAAAATGTTTAAATCTTAAAGAAGCAGAAATAATTCCAGACCAGTGCAAATTATTGCCCGCCTACATCATCCCATCCTTCTGTATGCTAGATTCCTATATTTATATTACTTGACAAGACCACTGGATAATGTGGGGGGGTATTGTTAGACCAGGACACGCCCATTCCTCTTTTTGCTTTCTGATGTGCCTATTTCCAAAATTTTCGTTTCATATGTGTGTTTGGGATTGACTGTGGTGAGTTTGCCTTGTGATCAATTAATCAGGGGGTGGAGAGGGGTTAGTTTTCTTTTCCGCGGGTAAAGGGGTTACCATGAATGACGTCTGCCTAATTATTGTGAAGTGTCCAACCACTGTTTACCATGCATGCCTATATTTTGTCACCCAATTTTTATGCTGCAATTGCAGGGTTTTTTTGGTTTGTTTGTTTTGTTGTTGTCGTTGTTTTGGGGGCGGGAGGTGCTATTGTAAGTTTACAGTCAGAAGATTATGACAGAGTGGCACCTTTTGAAACGGCAGGCAAAATTTTTACAGTGAGGTTTTTTTTCTACTTAGAGGTTGTTGGGGGTTTTTTTCTTTCCACTTGTGTATATTTTTTATTTTATTTTAAGCTTTTTTTTTTCCTTAGGTTTGTGACTGTTCCCTTTACATTTTCGTTTTGTCCTTTGATGACAGTGCACAAGCTAAGCTAAGCAAGGTCATAGTGGACGGCCAGATTTTTAAAAAGATATTGTTGAATCAAATTACAAAGTTATGATAAGAGATAAATATGTACAATATTTCTGATCTGAATTGCACAGTATAAGATAACCTTTTTGTCATCTATTTTGGTATGGGGGGGGGGGGGTTTAAAATGAACTGTTGCCCAGTTGGTACTGTCGTCAATAATATTGTCGAGGCTCTCACTTTGAAATAGTGAGAATTGTATTTTTTTCCTTTCATTGGCATAGTTATTGTGTTTTTTTACTGACTTCTTTCAAAAGCATACTCCACATATCTTTTTTGAATTTATAAGCGGATAGATCATGCGTGAGATGTTCTTCTGAAACCGTTCTCTGTGCATTTATCGTTGTCGTCATGAATGTGTGAACACTGGGGACAAACAAAAGCTAATATGATATGAGCACTACGATATTTTTGCTTGTTTTACACCAGATCAGGTCCAATTCATGTTTAGGTGTTTGCAAGTCTGTTGTAGTTTCATTGAATATTTGCTTGATGTTTATGGAAATATAAATGTTGTGCAATATAATCAATAATTTCTCTATTTGATCTAACCCCTGACATTTCTAGCTCATCATTCTCCATGTGTACTTATACTTCTCAGTAGTATTTGGCATGGTGCAAACAATCGAGACAGATTATACTTTGTTCTTTCCCCAGCCTTTGTGTTTCACATTGTTTGTGTAGCACCCATTTTGAATTAAATAAAAAGCTTGTCTTAAAGTTACTTTAGGGGTTGCTATCACATAGATTCTAGAGGGCGGGGGGGGGTACATCAGACCCCAAGGATATTATTTTCATGTCGCTCATTGTCTGAACATTTTTGTTTAAATGTGTAGTGTTAAGTAACAAGAGCTGATACTCAAGTATTTTTCCTCGTTTCAAAGCTTTCTGACAGATTAGATGTTGGGTCATAATATAAGGAGCCTGAAAAGTAAAACTCTTTTCTGACTTATAAACCAGCTATTTAGAAGTCATTTTATTGATATAATGTATTGTGCGTGACAGCAGTATTCCTCTTTGCTTCTTTTAGACGACAGTCTGTGTTGCTCCGTCCATGCTTAAAAGCAGTCTAATCATTTACACAGCTTTACCCACAGAGACCACGTTGGCCTAGATTTGTACCAGGTCATTTACGTGGCAGTGTTTCTTTCACTTGTGCTTTTTTTTGGAGGGGGTTTTCTCTCTCTCTCTCTCTCTGTACAGGTAGTTTTAGCTGACAACTCTGGTCATTTTATGTATTCTATCAGCACCATTTTTCATGGTGATTGCATTATGTCTCCAAAATATTTATGATCATTATTTTGAAAAGTTTTGATACAGTGTGAATTCAGAATCATTCTCGATTATTTTGAGGATCTTGAAAGACAACTCATATATGGGCTCCTTGAACAGTCTTTACATACCGGTATAAGAATATCTTTGAACTAGTTGTCTGTGCAGGCAAAGTCCTGTACTTTCTTTGGTTATGTATTGCATCTAGAGAAAATGTCGGGTCCGAAAGAGTGAGTTGTAATTTTCAAATTGTGTCATGTTCTACTTGGGGACCAGAGCCATTTTTGTCATGGAAACCACACTGTAAAAGAAGGAAAGTAAAAAGAAAATAAGATCAAGGCTGACTCGTGTAATCTTTTTCAAAAAGGGTTTTTTTTTTCCTCTCTCTTGTTCCTGGTCAAAATTTGTCCAAATCGAAGCGAAATATTGTCGAGCCTGCCCGCCACCTCTATAAAACGGCCACTTTTCATTTTCCCCTTGCGTTTTTCCTATATAATTTAACTGTGTAAAACGGGCACCTGTCCGCCGCGGCCACCATATTTTAACACACAACCCCGATCACACTAAGTAATAACACCTGTCTTAGACGGCCACTTTTATCGACTCCATTACGTTTTGTCATAAATTTTGCATTGGCCCCTGGCGTTGTGGGCGAGCCGTCATAATCAATTCCCCTGTCGTTGTTGTTAGGTAGTCCCTCCAACCGATCATGTTCCGTAGGCCCCTCCCACTATTGACCAATAGGTAACAAATTTTCAGCTGCTGGTGAGGTAAGCGTGAGATCCCTCATAACCCATAAGCCCCGCCCAGAAATCATACACAAATCGTAAGTGAGATGAGTGGTCACTGTTTACCCAGTCTGTAACAAAATATCAATGGGCGTCAACATGAACTTGTGACGGAAGTGTCGCTCGTTCTGCGAGTGGTGGCGAACCATGTGTTTGCTTTTCCATAACACTCGGTCCTCCTTGTCTGACTCATTTCGTTTTATTGTCACCCATGCACTAAAGTAGCAACAAAAGGAAAAAAAAACAGCGAAAACTAAAACAAAAACAATGACAACAACAACAACAACAATGCGGCTACTTTCGGTTGGGACCTCGGAAAAGAATTATATTGTTTGTTTTCTCCATTTTGATCAGTCCTGCCTAAGACGCCCACCTGTCTTGTACGGCCTCTTTTCACCTTGAATGGGTGGTTGTCTTACACAGGTTCAACTGTATATGCTTTTGTGTATTTGAACTGTGTGTGTTTCTATGCAGGAGTTCTTAAACAAGCATATCATAATATTTTTAAAATTTTGTCGATATTTTTAAGATATTGTTGTGTGGCTGGCAGTCTGCTCTGTAGATGCCTTTGGTGCTTTGCTTTGAATGCCAACAGGAAAAAATCTCCCTTTCGGTTAGGCTACCGGACTCGTAATAGTGAGATTGCGGATTCGGGGGTTCGAGCCTCAGGCCCGACGTTGTGTCCTTGGGAAAGGCAATTTACACGAATTTTCCTCACTTCACCTAGGTGGAAATGGGTACCCGGCCATAGACTTGCACTGTATGCTTCCCAGGAAGTTGAGGTTGTTTCAGAATGCTCTCGGGTCTGCTGGGGTAATAGTATAGATTGTGAAGCACATAGAGCTTGCTGTTTAGCGGGGATTTGCGCTATACAAATGCTATCTATTATATTATATTTTCGGCTTGCTTGAATGTAGATGGTACTGTAATGAATTTGGGACTTTTTCAAAAATCTGATTTTCTTATTTTGTTTATTCATTTTTCAGAACGGGAGAGAGAGAGAGATTGGTTAAAAGAAGAGAGTTTCTGGTTTCCTTGTGTAGTCAGTGTGCCGCTAACGCCTTACATTACATCGTACTTTTGTTATGCAAAAGTCTTTTTTTATTTATTTCCACTACCCTTGTATGTTGTATTCTTTTCAATGCTGGCTCAGGAGTCAATAAACAAATATTTTTTTTCAATTTTATCTGAAATGAAAAAGTGAGGTTATATCATGTAATGAGCATAACTTCACTGCTTTTGACATGCCCAGTTTCAATTTACTACTTTAATTGGTTGGTGGGGGAAGGGCACATTTAATTTAACGCCCAGATATTTTCTACAGTCATTGTCAAGCTTTCTGTATACCTTCCTTTTTTTTCTCTCTCAATTCAGTATTCCGTCTATCCCAGCATATATGTAACATTTCAATTGCTCACATTTGTCGTTACCACTGTAGTTTTGTATACATTCTCAGTTGTACTTGCAGGTGAAACATTGTCTGTGGTGTACTGGTTACACGCTTCACCATTGCACACAGAGGACAAATTCGATTCCAAGGTTATCGAGTATCTCAACACGTCGTACAAGACATTGTGTATTTGTAATTTACTGGCAGAGTTGAAACAGCCTGCCTTGTGGATGATTTAAAATGGTTTGATTGTGGCACAAAATATTTTTCAACAGTTGCATATTACTATTTCGTGAAACTGTTAAATACTTCTTTTGGATCACATGGAACACAACCAGGGCAGGTAGCTTCCTGCTGGTATACATGCTGCAGGCTTTGAACTATATGACTGTCGAAGCCACGGCCTGGTTGGTTGTATATCTCAAAGAGTGCAGCAGGTAGTCCATGTAGTGTTACGTCGACATTCCCTCTCTAGCCAACTGTAGCTTTACGGGTCTTGTCAACTGTCTTTGACAACACACCCCCCCCCCCCCTTTGAATAAGTTTTTTTTTTTATTATTAGTCTCATCCGTTCTCATTTGTTTTATTTCACAGCCATAACTGCAAGTTTGTTGTTGTATCCTAATTTGTCACCAGATTTTTACTTTTGCTGTTTCAAAATGGTGGGGCTAGAATTGCCTCCACAGTACACCAGGTTGTTATCCATCTGACTTTTTGTCTCTGTGCAGTGTTGTGTCCTTATTGCACAATATTGCTAGAAAGTGTGCGGAGTTTTGATATTTTAACGTTTTATTATGTCGATCAAGGGAGTGTAAGCCATATCATGTAAGCATCATCAGTTATAGATTGAGAATAGCAGATGTGATGATCATATCTGTTGTCATGAAATGTTAGGTTCAGAGTAACAGACACTATGAAGTCAATGCTCATGAAATGTTCCAACTTACATACATCTCATGCACAATGGGGTTTTTTTATGTTTAATTCTGAAGGAAATAGGTCTATGGTAAAAGGGTGTTTTCCTGTGTCATTTTTATTGGACCATCTTCACAAAGAGAGAATGTGCCACTTACTTTACTTTACCATGCTTCTTGATCATACATTCCATTTTCAACATTTTTCCAGTACAGTTAGATCTCTTCTTCTTTTTTTTTTTGTAACACTGTATCAAATTATATTGAAGCTCATGCTTCTAAATAAATAAGCAAAATTTATATGTTTGTATATTTTGTTTTTATATTCCTAACGAGTAAATCTGTACTATTATATGTATGTTTTTTGTATTACACTGATTTTATTATACTTTGGACCATTCCTGCTTTGCTAGCCTGCCACAGGAGCACAGTTTGTTTGACGAATTTGGCCAACTTGTAATTTTCCTCTCAGCCCATTAAGTATATATAGTGTTGATAGGGGCATTAAACAAGGAGAAGAAGAAAAAAAAGTCTTAGCCCATTGTCATTATGGAGAATCAAGGGCTCCATTGAAATATTACTCAAATTTGCCTAATTTGGTCAAGTAGAGGAGTTAACTTTTCCCATTTTAAAAAAGCCTGCCCATGCTGATCTGTCATGATGTCATAATATTTTGGTTTGGGATTGGGGGGGGGGGGGGGGGGTTGGGTTGTTGTTGTTTTGGTTTTTTTTGTTTTTGGGGGGGGGGTTGTGTAGCTGGGCAGCAGTTTGCTTTTTAAAAAAAACTTTTTTATGGTGGCACTGGTCGATGTTAGAGGTATTGCTACTATTTTATTATTATTCTGCATATATTGTAAGTGCATAATGCTGCAGTTATTGTCCTGATACCTTTCTTCAATATTTTTCATCTGCATTGGAGCCTTCTGAATGAAAACTTTGCAGCATAATTTAGAACAGTTATATTATTCCTTCATTTTATTCTACACTGTGGGTACTGTCAACTGAATAAGACTTCTTCTTGATTTTAATAACCAATACAGTTAGGTTTATATCTTATAATTTGTATCAAATTTCTGGGCTTATATTTTCATACAATCACTTTTAAGTTTCTTATATTTTGATTATTTTCTTTACGACTCTAAGCTGAAAAGAAAAAAACATTTCGGAGTCGTATTTTTAAATCTTTTCTTCTTTTTTTTTATGTGTACATTTCATTGTGTTGGGTTTTTCTCTAATTTTTTTAATTACTTTTTATTATTGCTCAAACAACATCATTCTTCATGAATTTGAATTTTATGAAACATTTTGTCATCCATTAGAATGTGTAGTTCAATTCCTGTGTTAGATATTATACGTCTTCTCTTTTCTGTGAAGCAATGTGTCCGCCATCTCTCAGATGAAATTTCCTGAGTCACCTAGAATGATAAACGTTCTTGATTTATGACTTGCATATATATTTCATTTGCTCAACTAACGCAGAAGATAAAGTTAATGGTTCCCTTTTGTTGTCCCAATATATCTGTAGCTATTTTCCTTTAAATCTAAAGACAGAACAATAGAGACAAAGTGGTCTGATCTTTTGTGGATTGATAAATCAAAACTCGTAAAGCTTGCAGTGATAAGTCCCAAAACGTCCCTTCCCACAACCTGTTTGTTGTTCTATTGCTCTATTACTATTATAATTATTAGTGTTCAGAGCAATCAGTTCTGGCTGTCCTGTTCCAACATTTTTTCTGTGGTTTTAATTTTTAACCTTTACTTTCGGTGGGCTCTTTTGTTGGTGGGGGGGAGGGCGGGGTCAGAAAATATTGGCAAAGTTCTGTAGGATTGTTGTGTAAATATTTGCTTTTTTTTTTTTCATCTCCAAAGGTTGTGAACTGTGAGAGCCGCAGTGCTAAGATACATTGTCACGTACCGGTGTTTGTGCGTTTGAGAGTCCGGCCTATTTGTGGTGTGTGTGTGTGTGTGTCACAGTGTGTGTCACCGACATTTTCATCACGTTACAGTACTTAAAATGATGGTGTGTACTTGCTTTTTTGTCAGGAATGTCCTTCTTGTTCAGATTCCAGAAGTACCGAGTATTTAGATTGTTGGGGCTTTTTTTCCCCAGCAAAATCTCCCAACGTGAAATTGTTTCTCCTTCAATCTCTACAATGTGTATTTTTTTAGCCACAGACAGAAATAAAAGGAGCATCTACTCCCTTCTATCCCACCTTTACAATTCCCATGAGT